AGCAACTTCAAGACGATTCTTTCTCTCAGCAACTCCATTTTGTTGAGGGGTGTCCACACAAGTAAGTTCATGAATCATGCCCTGATCTTGGATGAATTTGGAAAGACGCTGATTGACTTATTCGGTACCATTGTCAGACCTTAGTCTTTTAATTCTTTTTCCAAATTGGGTCTCAATCATTTTATAAAATCGAAAGAAAAATTGTGGTACCTCAGATTTTTCATGCATTAAATAAACGCAGGTTACACGAGTGCAATCATCAATGAAAGAAACCAACCATTTATTACTAGAAGGATGAGGAACTTTAGAAGGACCCCAAAAATCAGAATGAACAAGATCAAAAGGCTCATCACTTTTAATGTTACTAGAAGGAAAAGAAACACGATGGTGTTTAGTAAACTCACAAACATCACAATGAAAACACTCAACAGACTTAGACAAAAATGATGATGGAAATAAAGACTTGAGCAAACGAAATGGAAGATGCCCTAAGCGTTTATGATGGAGCCAAAACAAAGAGTCGGAAATAGACCGAGACTGAGTCAACAAGGTGTGATCTTTAGCATACTTTGCAGAAGATTCTGGCACCAGTTAGTACAACCCACCTTGCTCCTTAGCATCCTCAATCGTTTTTCCCGTGGCGAGATCCTAAAAAACACAGTGAGTAGGGAAGAAAAAGAAAGTTACAATGCAATTCAAATCTTTGGTAATTTTACGGATAGAAAGAAGATTAGTGGAGAGTTTGGGAACATGAAGAACATTTTGGAGATGTAAGGAAGACTGTAAATATATGTTACCAGAACCCGCAACTGATGTGTGTGAGCCATCAGCTACGGCTATTGTATGGGTGCCAATAGTAGGGTTATAAGAAAGAAAGAGTCAACACAACAAGCCATATGATCAGTAGCACCAGAATCAATAATCCAAGAATGTTTAAAATCAGTACAAGAAGAAAAAAAAGAATGAGTAGTGGAGCTCATAGCAGTCATAGTCAAAGCACTAGTATTAGATGGCTTACTCAGAGAATCAAGCATAGTCCGAATCCGCTCCAACTCATCTCGGCGAATAGAAATAAATTCCGAAGATTCACCATTTGAACCCGCCATAATGTTGAGGTGAAAATCACATAAACGCAAATGCAAATGTTGTCTGACCGAAGAGAAAAACACAGATCTGGAAAGAGGAGACAAAACCAAGCAGTTCTGTCCTGGAATAGTTTTTTTTTAGTGAACAGTACCCAGTGAACAGTGTTGATGAACAGTGCGCGCGGTGAACAGTGTTGATGAACAGTGCACGTCGTGAACAAAGAGAGTAAAATAATCAGATCTGATCAAAGGAGGCGCGAGTGGCCAAAAAGATCCGATTTTTTATGACGAGATGAAAGACCCACTGCTAGAAACGTACGTAGATTGATAGATCTGGAAAAACAGAGTCAAAAAATGGTCCTCTTGGTCCAAAAGGTCCCCGGAAAATTTTTCCGATGACGGCTAGTGGCGTCGAAAGCTAACAAATTGGATTCTGCTCTAAAGGCAGCAATTGCGGAAGCAGAGCCCTTCGAGAGCTCTGTTACCAAGTTGAAAAAAAGAGATAATCTTATTGATAAAAATTGTGTATTATATCTGTACAATTGCTCTCTATTTAAAGAGACAAAATAACCTAATGGGCTAAGCCCAAAGAAGATTCTTGAATGAAAATAAATAAATAAATAAACAAATACGATTATTTACAACAATAACCCTATCCTAGGAGTAGCCTTCAGGTCCTGAAGTATTCTCTCCATAGTATGCAAGTGTCTTTCCCTTGGATTGTGCATGAACTAACTAACTATGCTAACAACTTTGATCAAATTTCTTCTAGCATGGGCTAGATAGATTAGTGGTCCCACAAGTCGTTGATATTGTGCTTTGTCAAGTGGAGAAGTCTCCTCAATCTCCAACAAATGATTTTGTTCTATAAGGGTGCTAGTGGTTTTATACCCAAGCTTTCCATCCTTTTTCAAAAGATCAAGTACATATATATGCTAACAAATAAAAATACCTTGCTTGAATAAGCTACCTCAATTCCCAGGAAATATCTTAGCTCCCTAAGGTATTTGATTTCAAATTTGGCAGTTAATCTTTCCTGCAGAAGTCATCTCTCAAATTGGATCATCATCTGTTACAATGATATCATCTACATAAAAAAGAACAGTTAAGTTTTCCTTGTTGAGAATGTTTGAAAAATATGGTATGATCTCCTTGACTCTGCTTATATTCAAACGACATCATGACTTTGGTAAACCTTCCAAACCAAGCTCGGGGAGATTGTTTTAAGCCATATATGGTCTTCTTCAATCTATAGACTTTGTCTCCAACAGTTGTAAAGTCAAACCTTAGTGGAATCTCCATGTAGACTTCTTCTAATTCACCATTGAGGAATGTATTCTTCATATTATATTGATTTTTGACCCAATTTAAGTGAGCAGCAAGAGATAAACTGCAAATTTGAATAATATAACAAAATTGTAAACTGCAAATTTAAAACAATAGAAAAAAACAAAAAGTAAAAACAGCCAATTAAATTATAGAATTTTTTTTTTTGAAAAGGATGAAAATCTGAAACATGTGGATACATTTAATTGAAAGTGGGAAAGTAGAAAAGACGTTTCTTTCTTTCTCTCTCTCCCATAACCAGAGGTTCGACGTTTATCTCTTTCTCTCTCTCCAATAACTAGGTTTGTTTGTAGAGGACACGACGACGTTCCTCTCTCTTTCTCCAGAATGGATACATACATTCTGCATCTTCTCTTCTCACTCTTTCTCATCCACACATTTCTCGCAGATTGATGATAGAGAGGAAAGGGTTAGGGTCCGCAAATGGCTGCTATTTGGCCGCAAATGCGGCCGCAATGGCGTTTCGGAGCGGGTTCTTGAGGCGAGGCAGCACAACTCGCATCCGGCGCATATGGCTGAAATGAAACTTTTATGCTGTATAGAAAGGTTTTTAGATAAGATATATTGAGAAATAGGGTATTGAGTACTTGATCTTCTTCCTTTTATTAAGGCAATCAACAAGTCACAAAAAAGCAGAATTATTAGTGTCAGGCTCAGAAATAGGGACAATTGTGTTTTCAGTACTTACCAGTCAATGGTTCAGACGTTGGTGGTAGCTACTGGTAGAGTGGGGTTTTTCTTTCTCTGATATAGCAACTTAGGTGTCCTTGGCGCCTTCTTTAGTATGCACTTTTGTAGGCTGCCAAGGCTCACGTCTTTGTCATCTGTTGAATCTTGCTCATCATGCGATACAATGATAGGCTTTGAGGCAAACTGAGAAGGTAATGGCAAAGGAGAAAGCTCGGGCTCAAAAGACAGGGTTGAAAATTCCAAATTACTCTCCCTTTGAAGGTGAGGACGAGGATAAAATGACATATCTTCATGAAATGTAACATCCATGGAAACAAAAAACTTACGGTTCTGAAGGTGATAACATTTGTATCCTTTTGTTTGGAGTATAATCCAAGAAGATACATTTAAGAGCCCGAGGATCCAACTTACTTCGATGTTATTTATGAATATGGACAAAGGTCACACAACTAAAAACTCGAGATTGTAGGCTTTGCTAGACAGGAAAAGAAGGACTTACACAACCAAGAACTCGGGATGAGAGTCAGTTGATCAGATAAGCCGCAATTAACATAGCCTCTCCCCAATAAGACCTGGGAACTGAAGTTTGGAAAAGTAAGGCTTGTGTAACTTCGAGCATGTGATGGTTCTTTCTTTTAGCAACTCCATTCTATTGAGGAGTATCAACACATGTGAACTCATAAATCGTGCCTTTGTCTTTAACAAACTGTGATAGGTGTTGATTGATGTACTCAGTGCCATTATCAGACCATAATTGTTTAAAACATTTACCAAATTGTGTTTGAATCATGTGATAGAATTGAACAAATAAGGCTGGCACCTCTAACTTGTCACGCATAAAAAATACCCATGCGAGTACAATCATCAATAAAAGTAACGAACCATCTTGTTCCAGAGTAAATAGCCGACCCCCAAAACGCTATAGCGGGTAGTGGTAAAGCTGTTACTGTGAAATCCATATAAATACTTTTAATAAATTATACCACATATAAATGCTATAAGATAAGAAATCACCTAAAATAGGAGGAAATGAGGAATATAAAATATAATACTACACATTCAAGTCAAGGATTCAAGGAACATAAAGGAAGTAACATACTAGTTCAATCAAAGTATCTAAATTAATAACAATACAGCCAAACACATTTTTTTAAGGTCATTCTTATTACTTCAAAAGATCAATTATCTCATATATTATTTAATATGATTTATTTTATGTCAGAGAATTCTAAATATTAATGAATAAATCAACAATAATAATTTTGTAATTTTCTATTTTAATATAAAATTGTAAATTGTAAATTATATATATATATATATACATATTATGGTAACAAATTATTTTTATATTACATTATAAGATCATGCAAATTATAATTTATCTAAAGTGTATAATATAAATCTTGATTAGTAAAAATAAATATATTTTATTAAAATGTGAATTGATGGATAGAAAAACAATGGGACTTCTCATGGTGCAATATAGGAGATACCTCATGCTATAGACACATTAGTGGGGTCCACCATTTAAAAAAAAAAATTAAAAATAAAATAAAATGGTGCACATTGTTCGAAGGGTCTGCATGAAGCATTCTCTTTCTCCATCAACATGATACTTATATTTCCCTTAAATAAAAGCCCATGCTAAATGATTGGGATCATGTTCATACTAACAATTCAAACTACTGTCTTTTTATACTGTTGTGATTAGAAATAATAACTGATTATTGATCTATGCTCACTTCTAATGCGCTAAAATGACTATTTCTTTTGTTGCCTTGTGGATGGCTGATCATTTCTTCTAGTCTTTTACTTAATTATGCAATTTTAGTTTCATGAAGTAGTTTGGTTACTGTATTTTGTGTTCTCTTCGGACAGTCGGTTGATGGATCCACTAACTACAGATTTGAGGAATATGAATAGTTTAGCTAAGGTACGGATTTATGGATGCAGGTTTATGTTTTACTCACATATATATTTATAAGTATGGTTGTGTTTGCATGCTCTGTTATGAAATTTCCTGAAAGTTATGAATTTGTTTATGATCTATCAGAAAATGAGATTAAGGCGTATTGAGAGAGGAGCTTTGACTCTTGCATCTGCTGAAGTCAAATTTCAAATTGACACAGAGACTCATAATCCCCTTGATATTGGTAGTCTTCTTACCTCTTAATGTCATTTAGTTATTCTTTTTGAGGTTTTAGAAGGTGAGCAATTTTGTGTTATTCGAATTGGATAAGAAGTTCTACTGGTGCCATTAGATTGTTCATAGTAAGAAGAATGAATGACCTGTCATCTATTGATACTCTGTCACATTTTCCAGATCGTGCTACCTATGTGTCCTTTGTGTCCCTTGCATTCTGTACATCATTTAGAGGAACCCATTCTGGAAGTATTTACCAGCTAGTTGATATCATTTAAACCACAAAGCTCGGTCCATGAATATGTCTGCCTTTAGATTAACACTGGTGTCCTGAACGATTTTAATTACTTTACTTTTTTGGGATGCTGGAAGTTCAGAAAATTAACATTATTTTGTTTTTTGTTTGATGTTTCTACACGTTTAATGCATTAGCTGATATCAATCTGGTACGATGTGTCATGATATGTAAGCATGAGTGTGACATCAAATGAAGAGATATTTATGAAGTTAATTAATCTTAAGGACTGATAAATGATAATAAGAGGGGCATAAAAAGTTCAAATTATTATGAAGGACGGTGTACACAGTTTTTTTGGGGAAAGGGACAATTAGATTTCTCTTAATATAGAAAATAGCCTTAATTAAAACCCTTTTTGCAACTGTTAGCCATTTTCTGAAAACAATTAGCCTCTTAATAATAAATAAGCAATAGCCATTAGTAATCTTCCAAACTAGTATCTTTACATTTAGAACTTCATTTACAATTGTGTGGTGTTGAACGTTGATTAAGTAGGATGGAGAGAGGACATCTCCCTAGAATTGAGATGGTAAATTAGTAGCCATCATGCTGGTACTTACCTTGTCTGTCTCAAATTTATATGAAGAGGGTATATTGACATGCTTTTCCCTTCCATAAGACAACTTTTCAACTGCCGGTTTTCCATTATTGAACCAGCATGTATTTTCTGTGTGGCTTGTCTTTCTACAATTCACGCCAAGTTCGATATTTTTTTTTTCCTGTTGAAAAGGTGGCTGATTGGACTGATGTCCTTTAGCTGACATGGCTGAGATTTTCTAACTAAGGCAAAGAGTTTGAGCTTCCCTTATCAACTTAGAAAATATTTGTGAACCTTTGCTAGTGGCTTGGTACCAACAATTGTCCCACTACTTCATCAAGCTTCTTATTAAGTCCAAGAAGGAACTTGTAGATCCTGTTGGTAATTGTGTTCAGCAGCAATGACATCACCTGGCTGTTCTCGAGTCTCATTTGTGGTTGTGATATGGACCAGCATACTAAGGTGTATGGGAGGGATAAGAAAAGGAGTGTGTGGGCCAGGCCCAGTGATGAGTCAGCTTGGAATTCCCAAATTGGCCCTCAACAGAGTGCAATGCTGGCAGGAGTTAGTTAAAATAGGCTTGAATGGAAGGAGAGGGGGTATTGAGTAGTCTTTGCTGGAATTGGTACCTAGGAGAGTGAGGAGCCTTTTGATTAATTGTTCTGTCTCTGTTTTAATCTGCTGTTGATACTGTTTCCATTGTTATAGTGGGTGTAATTTTCCATATCAGAATACAGAGATTTCACTTTCTTTGATCTATTGAAATCTACACATTTAGTTGAGCTGAGAGTGGATTGAACCTATAAGGTTACTAGGATCATCTTTCTCCGGTTGTTTGCCATCACTGATGATGTACTCTTTCCTTCCCTTTCAATGGTGAAATATCTGAATTAAGCTGGCCCATTGAATGAAGTTCTGGCTGTTCGGTTTGTAGCCAATGATAGGAAGAACAAGGCCTTCGAGCGGGTTGGTTCCAATCTTCGATTAGGATACCACCTTTGAGGTGCCACTCTCCTGGTCGTTTGCCATGGATGAAGCAATGATGAAGTTTGTAATCAACCCTGGCTCAGATCATGCTCTAATACCATAAATAAAACATTGTATTTTTCCTTTTTCTGTTGATTACAAGATGGTAGTACAAATAAGGAATTAGGGTAAACACTGTACATTAATGGATGTACCTTAATCTAGGCCTAAAAAACTAGGAGAGGAATTCTCTCCCTACAGATAGGAAATCCCTAAAACATAGGAGCTAATAACTACACCTAGCTGTACATAAAAGAAACAGAATCAGGAGATTCTATCTGAAGAAAAGAAGAAGTGGAAGAAGTGTTTTATCTAAATAATACTTTCTTGATTCATTGAGAGACCCAGTGGGACCTTTTTATATTGAGTACATCCAACTACCTCAACTACTTTAATAAATATGCAACCTCCAACTACATCAATAAATATACAACTACCAACTAAATATACAACTACCAACTACATCAATAAATACTATCTAGAATATTCTACATATTCTACACTCCCCCTCAAGTTGGGAGATATATATTGATCATTCTCAACTTGCAGATCAAATTCTCAAAGGTCGGCTTAAGTAATCCTTTGGTGAGAATATCTGCCGTCTGTTCCTTGGTAGGTATATATGTCAAGCATACACTACCTTCTTCTAACTTCTCTTTGATAAAGTGACGATCAACTTCCACATGTTTTGTTCTGTCATGATGAACAGGATTTTGAGCAATGCTGACAGCAGCCTTATTATCACAATATAATCTGATAGGTAGGGAATAAGAGATCTTCAACTCCTCTAGAAGCCTTCGTAACCAAATTCCTTCACAAATACCATGGGCTAGAGCCCGAAATTTTGCTTCTGCACTGCTTCTTGCAACAACAGTTTGTTTCTCACTTCTCCAGGTCACAAGGTTTCCCCAGACATAAGTACAATATCCTGAAGTAGATCTTCGGTCCATTGCAGAGCCAGCCCAGTCTGCATCTGTATAGATTTCAATCATCCTTTTGTGCCCATTTTTAAAGAAAATTCCTCGACCAGGGGTATTTTTGAGGTATTTGAGAATTCTATAAACAGCACTAAGGTGTTTTTCCTTAGGAGAATGCATGAATTGGCTAACCATGCTCACAGCAAAAGCAATATCAGGACGAGTGTGAGACAAATAGATTAATTTCCCCACTAGTCTCTGGTACTGCTCCCTATCAACATCTTCCCCGTCCTCAACACCCATCTTGATATTAGCTTCAATTGGAGTCTCTGCCGGCTTGCACCCAAGCATACCTGTTTCTTGCAACAGGTCTAGAATGTATTTTTTCTGAGTTAAAGAAATTCCTTCCTTCCTCCGAGCAATTTCCATGCCAAGAAAATATTTGAGAGATCCAAGATCTTTTAGTTGAAACTGGTCAGCTAAACATTTTTTTAAAGAGGTTATCTCCTCGCTATCATTACCAGTGATAATTATGTCATCAACATAAACGATCAGAATAGCAATTCTTCCTTTGTCGGAGTGTTTAAAAAATAAGGTGTGATCAGTCTGAGCTTGGGTGAACCCTCTTCCCTTAACAGCTTGAGTAAATTTCCCAAACCATTCTCTGGGAGATTGTTTAAGTCCATAGAGAGACTTCTGCAACTTGCACACAGAACCATCCCCTTTTTCAAAACCAGGAGGTGGATCCATGTAAACTTCCTCATGTAGATCACCATTCAAGAAGGCATTCTTAACATCTAACTGTTGCAATGGCCAATCAAGGTTGGAGGCAAGAGATAGCAGAACGCGGATAGTGTTAAGTTTGGCAACAAGAGCAAATGTCTCCTGATAATCTATCTCATGAGTCTGAGTAAATCCCTTAGCAACTAATCTGGCCTTATACCTATTGATGCTATTGTCTGCATTGAATTTTATTGTGAACACCCACTTGCAACCAACAATTTTCTTTCCTTTAGGTAATGCCACAAACTCCCATGTTCCATTTTTTGTAAGTGCATCCATTTCTTCTAATACAACATTCCTCCGTTTTGGGTCATCAAGTGCTTTTTGGATATTTTTGGGTATCCTGGTACTATCTAACATAGTGTTGAAAGCACGAAAACCTGGAGACAACTTTTCATATGAGATATAATGGGAAATAGGATGAGCAGTGCAAGATCTAGTACCTTTCCGAAGAGCAATAGGCATATCAATGTTGGTTGTACTAGTACATTCAAGTGGGTTGCTGGAACAAGGACTCGAATCAGGATCCTGGCAGTCTAGAGTATCTTCATGTGTTTTGCGCCTGCTATAAAATTTTCCCCATTTACCAGGAGGATCATTAGATTCAGGTATAGTTACTCCCCCTGTTTCCTTCCCAATAACTCCCCCTGTTTCCAAAGGCCAAGGTAAGACAGCAGCATCATTTGGTTTCCCAGGCTTATCATCATCCATACCAATACCAATAGACTCCCCCTGAAGAGAAGTCGGGGAAAAAAAGGATTGTGTCTCATAAAAGGTAACATCCATGGAAACAAAAACCTTACGGAGAGAAGGTGAGTAACACTTATAACCTTTTTGATTAGGGGAATATCCTATGAAGACACATCTAACAGATTTAGGGTCAAGTTTGGACCTGTGATGTGGAGGAATATGCACAAAAACCACACAGCCAAATATTCTGGGAGGAAGAGAAGAAACAGCACTGAAAGAGGGAAAAAATTTAGTAAGACAAGATAAAAGAGAATGAAAATTTAGTATCCGAGAAGGCATCCGGTTAATGAGATAAGAGGCTGTCAAGACGGCTTCCCCCCACAGATATTTAGGGACATGCATCGTGAATAAAAGAGCTCGAGCAACTTCAATTGGATGTCTATTTTTTCTTTCAGCCACCCCATTTTGTTGAGGGGTGTTATGACAAGAACTTTGATGAATAATTCCATGCTGGTTTAGGTAATCTCCAAGAACAGAATTAAAATATTCAGTACCATTGTCTGTTCACAGAATTTTGATAGAGGTCTGGAATTGAGTTTGAATCATAGCATGAAAATTTTTAAAGGTGGATGCCGCATCAGACTTATCTTTCAAGAGGTATACCCAACATACCCTAGAATGATCATCAATGAAAGTAATAAACCAACGAGCACCCGAGATATTTTTTTCACGAGCAGGTCCCCAAATATCACTATGAATCAATGTAAAGGGAGAAGATTCATGATATTTTTTAGGAGAATAAGTGGCACGAGAATGCTTTGCAAGCTGACAAATATCACAAAGAAGGGAACTTGGCTTTTTACTGATGAACAAGTTTGGGAATAACATCTGAAGATAGACAAAATTTGGGTGTCCTAACCTACGATGCCATAACAAAACATCATTACAATCATCTGATAAACATAAAGAGTGGTTTGAAAAAATCCTCCTTTCACAAGGATCCTCTTTAAAATAGTAGAGCCCTTCTTCCTCTCTAGCACTGCCAATCATCGTCCCTGAGTCCTGTTCCTGAAAGGTACAAGCATTTGCATAGAACCTAGCAACACAATGCAACTCAACAGTAAGTTTGCTAATTGGGATGAGGTTACAGGTAAGAGAGGGAACATGAAGGACTGAATTCAAAATAATATGCTCAGAAAGTTTAATGGATCCCTTCCCCGCAATAGTGGAGAAATTCCCATCAGCTGTTCTTATTCGTGACGGGTGATAGTAAGGGGTATAGGAGAAAAATAAGGTTGCATTACCTGTCATGTGATCAGAGGCCCCTGAATCAAGGATCCAGCGATTACTACGTTCAACATGGAATGCCATACCTTTTTGAGCAACATGACTAGTTGCCTCGGCAGGTTGAGATATCAGTTTCTGAAATTGCTCATACTGGGCCTTGGAGAGGAAAACACCATCAAGGTTTGAAGGGACATGAGACACCTCCCCTTTATCTTCGGAAGATACTTGATTAGCACGATTCTTGTTCTCTCCTTTTGGTTTCCAGTTTGGTGGTTTTCCATGAATTTCCCAACATTTTTCACGGGTGTGACCACCCTTATTGCAATGAGAACACCAACGGTCAGAACGTTTTGAGTCCCCAGAAAGACGAACAATATTCTTTGCTATAAGGGCAGACTCATCAGAGGACTTAGAGTCCTTATCACCCAACATTACCTTTCGGCGAAGCTCCTCCCTTCGTAATTCAGAAAAAGCAGTAGCAAGGGAAGGTAATGGGTTTTGTTCCAAAATTCTTCCACGAACATCATCCAGATCAGAATTAAGGCCAGCAAGAAAATCATAGAGACGCCTTTTCTCTATATAATTTTTGAACCTTGCATTAGCTTCTAAACCTTGAAGGTCTGCTTTATCATAAAGATCTAACTCTTGCCATAGTATTTTGAGAGCAAGGAAGTATTCAGTAACAGTCATCCCTCCTTGGCGTAATTCTTTCACCTTGGTGTTGAGATCAAAAGCCTGAGATGCATTGCCCAGGTCAGAGTAATATTCTTTAATAGCTTCCCAAATCTCAGGAGCTGTGTCAAGAAATAAATAAGTTTGACTGATATCTGGTTCCATAGAATTAGTCAGCCATGTCATGACTAAAGCATTTTCAGTCACCCAAGCATCATAACCAGGTTCACGTTCTGCTGGTTTTACCTTTTTTCCGTCGAGATACCCCATCTTCCCTTTAGCCTGGATAAACAACTTAACAGATTGACACCATTGCACATAGTTCCTACCGTTTAAACGGTGACTGGTGATCTGCATTGTTGGTTTGTCTCCAGAAGACGAAGAGTTGGGAAGGGGTGAGGTTCCAGACGAAATTTCAGAATTTCCAGCATCCATGGCTTTCTAACAGGTACCCAGAAAAAAGTTCCTCCAAATACGATTTTGACCCTCAAAACAAGAAGAGGGTTGGCGACACTGAAACAGTAATTGCTACAGTGATGAACAATACTGCAACGGGTCTTCTGTGGGCTGGCTCGGTATTTTGTTCTGAACCTAATGGTGGCCTTGGTTTCGTGGTTGGAGGTGTCTAGTAAGGATTCTGGCTTGGACAGTGGCTAAAACGAAAAAAAAGGAATAGGAAAATGACTTAAAAATAAATTAGAACGGGGAAGAGACTGGAATATAACCAGCTCTGATACCATGAAGAAAAGAAGAAGTGGAAGAAGTGTTTTATCTGAATAATACTTTCTTGATTCATTGAGAGACCCAATGAGTCCTTTTTATATTGAGTACATCCAAGTACCTCAATTACTTTAATAAATATGCAACCTCCAACTACATCAATAAATATACAACTACCAACTAAATATACAACTACCAACTACATCAATAAATACTATCTAGAATATTCTACATATTCTACACTATCTGTTCCTAAAATCAGGCTAAAAATGAGGAACTGATCACCACCAAAAACAATTAGCCACTTAGTTGAAACAATTAGCGAGAGTATTAAGTATTACCAATTTAGTGGTATTTTTTCCCATTAAGTGAAATCAAATGACCCGTCTTCATAAATAAATTTTGGATAGCTCTTCATAATTTGAACGGTTAATGCCCCTTAGAATTAAATATTTATTGTTAGCGGTCCTTGAAATTAATTATCCCTAATTCTGAACTCGTGTTGTTCATATATCTGCTGAGAGATGATCACTTTCAATATACGTTTTCTTGTTGCTTCTTGGTAAGACTTGCACTTCAAAGCTGCTGTTCCAGATCCTTGCTTTGGAAGACTGGTTTCTGAGTCAGTTCATATATCATCAGTGAGACCTCATGAGTTTAGGTTAAATTTTGATGTCTTCAGTAACTTTTAATGACTTGAAATTGTAATCGTTATGATATTAGGGTGGCCTATGTTAAATAGTATTGTTCAGTGTAAGTTATATTGTGTTAGTATGTTGTGAGTGTTACTGAGCTGGGCTTGTACCCAGTGATGATACTTCTTGCATATCTAGTGCTAAATGCCTATATTAGGCATTTTTGTACTACTACACTTGTATTCAACCTAGATTATAAGTATAAATAGGGGTATGAATATGCATTACATAACAGTTTAGTCTCATTTCATTATTGAAATATATTTCTCTTTTTCTGTTTCCATCGGTAAAGAACCATTTCAATCTAAAAGTTTAAGCTTTAGGTGACTGTTACAGTAATAGAACCATCTCTTTTTTTGGGTATGAAAGGTGGACAATACATAGGTCCACCAACCTGTGCTAAGAAATTTCGTAATATTTTATTATCTATTAATAGAATGGGAGCGGTAAGGGTCGAATTCGTGATCATTTGTTCACAGAGGCTCTGATACTATATAAAGAACCATATCAAGTTAAAAGCTTAAACTATTAGGTAAATGTCACATTAATGGTTTTAAATTATTTCAAAAATAACTTATTTGCTTTCTCTTAAGGATGTTTAGTTGTACCCATAGTTAAATTGGATATTTTGTAGGAGAGAGATTGAGGTTGATGGTTTTCTATTATACTTTAATTTCCCCTACTTCATGAAAGGAGAGGGGAAAAAAAAACTGGGTTTTATTTTTCCCCTTTCCTTTTTATAAAAATTAATTCTACTGTTTGATTTTAATTGCAGGCATGTACCAGATCCGGGAAGCCAACCAAATGGTGGAGGAGTTTATGCTTGCTGCTAATGTTTCAGTTGCACAACAAATTCTTAAAAGTTTTCCTTTGTGTTCCTTATTAAGGTTGTTTTTTGTTTTGACCTTTTTAACATATAGTTTTGAAATGGTTGTTTTTCTTGGGAGGGGCTGCCTTTATACTGTCTTTTTTTATGTTCTTCTATGTCAATTACAAAAATTTAATTTGTGAATTGAAGATTGTAAATCAAATTGAATATGCATTTGGTACATTAAGTAATTTGATTAATTTCTGATTTCATGGGTTAGTGCACTTAATTTCCATAGTAAAAGAGTTTTGGTTGATAGTGGATCAAAACAGAACAAACCTCACAAAGCTTAACTGGTATAGCACCCAAGAGAGCCAAGAATACACTAGTCTTTGATTGAAAACTCAGCAAAAGATACTGATAAAAGCAGGATCAAAACACATACAAATTATGATGAATCTACTGTATTATTCTTCTGTTGATAATGATATCTGAACCTGTGTGGTTGACTTTCAGTGGAAGATGAAGAAACAAAACAGAAAATAGGTCTAAGGGTCAGAGAGACCCTGCTCCCTCCTAATTCCACTTGATGGCCTCACCGGCAATCTGTTGCAGTAACCATTCCCTCCCCGAGATCTCAATTCCCCCTGATTGCCTCTCTTCCAAGCCGTTACATTAGCTATTCCCTCCCCAGGAGACTTGGTTTCTCTGCGCTCCTTCCTAATATACACCTTAGTAATAGGTGATTTTGGAACACATACTAATAGAGGACACGTGTCAGTTTGTAAGTCAGTTTGTAGTGTGTTCAGTTTGTTATTCAGTTCAGTCAGGGTGTTAGTGGCTTCTAGAAGATTATTACTCTTTGTATAGCCTATATAAAACTTGTCTCTTTTGAGATCTGCAAGAAAGAATTCAGTTGCAATATTAATCAGATAAATGTTTAGATCTCGCTTCTCTTTCTCTCTGATTCTTTCTCTTTGATGGTATCAGAGCCCTTCTTTGGGGCCTGATCTGTCTCTTTGTTCACCAACATGGCTTCCGCTTCAGCTAACACTAGCGATTCCGCTTCCTCTGCCTCGAACAAATCCAAATCTCCTTCGCTCTTCACAATGTAACTCTGTGTGAAACTAACCAGCAAAAATTTCTTGCTATGGAAACAAATCGTCGAGCCCCCAATCATTGCTCATCAGCTTGAGAAATTTCTCGTTATTCCAATATTCCAATGCGTTTCTTGTTAGAAGAGGATCGTACTATTGGAACGGTGAATCCAACCTTCTCAGAATGGGAACATGTTGATAAAATGCTACTTACTTGGCTACAATCAACAATATCAAAGGAAATGATCTCTAAAATCCTTGGAATTCGACAATCACATCTCACGTGGGATAAGATCAATCGTTACTTCAGTTCGAGGCAAAGGCTAGTCAAGTTCGTTCTCATCTCAGAAACATCAAGAAAGGTGATAAATTGTTGAAGAATTCTTGACACGAATTAAAGCTCTTAGTGAGACGTTAGTAGCCATTGGTGATCCTATTACGGAGTCAGAACAAGTTGAATGGGCCTTATAAGGACTGCCAGAAGAATATGCACCGTTCATTACGTATTTTCATGGTAGAGAAAGCTCCAGCACCTTTGAAGATCTGGAATCTCAGCTTCCTGCTCAAGAAACGATGATTGCTAAATATAACTTAGCTGGATCTGTGAATACAGTTCATAAAGAAAATCTTTTGTTTGCCCTTGTTTTTGGTGCCCCAGAACGGGGACCTGCAAATCCTACTAACAATTTCTCTACACTATTAGGATCATGCATTTCTAACCTCAGTCTACCTCATTAGCAGACTGCCAACTTCAGCTCTTAATTTCCAAATCCCCCTCCAACTCCTTTATCATACCCTACCTGATTACTTATCTTTTCGTATGGTTGTGCTTGTTATCCTTTTCTTCGTCCTTGCAACAAGCATAAACTAGATTTTCATTCTAAAGAGTGTGTTTTTGGGCTACTCTCCTAGTCACAAAGGATATAAATGCTTGGCTTCAGATGGCAGGATGTTTGTGTCCAAAGATGTCTTGTTTAATGAAATCAGATTTCCCTATTCTCAGATTTTCCCTTTCACTTCCTCTCCCTGTTCATCATCTGTATCCCCTTATACTACATCTCATCTACCTCTCTATAATTCACCTACTCCTCTACCAATCTTACCCACTGCCACTCCTAATACCTCACCCACTTCTTTATCTACTGCCACTCCTATTATCTCACCTACTCACTCACCTCCTATCTCCCGCTGCCCTCTCATCTATCCCCGCCAATACCTCCTCTGCATTGTCTTCTTCTACACAGCATCCCCTGCTACTTCTGCATCTGCTTCGAAACCACATCATCAATCCTTACACTCACAGGAAAATGGATCTCCTAGGTCTGCCCCCTCTCTGTCTGGGTCTAATAATCAGTGTATCTCCCCTGTTTCTTCTGCATCTATTTCCATAGGTATGTCTCCTATCTCTCCTGGGTCTAGTTCTACTCCTGTTATTCCTAGATCCTCCTCTTTTGGGTCTCTGTCTTCTCCTCTTTCTTCGGGTTCAGAATATGCCCCCACTGCTCCTCTTAAGTCCACGTCTCCTACTCACTCTATTAACACCAGATCCGAAGGTCCTCCACCATCTATTTTTACTGCTCACACTGAACCAACTTCTGTGAAACAGGATTTGACTCATCCACAATGGTTACTGGCCATGAAACAAGAATATGCTGCACTTTTGGCCAATAACACTTGGTCTCTTGTTTCTCTTCCTCCCTCTAGGAGTCCCATTGGCTGTAAATGGGTGTTTAAAGTAAAGGAGAATCCAGATGGTTCCATTAACTAGTATAAGGCTAGATTGGTGGCAAAAAGGTTCCACCAACAACATGGTTTTGATTTTAGTGAGAATTTGATAGACATCGATAGAACAGATTTAAAGAAACAACTAAACAGAAGCACTTTACTATGAAAGCAGAAGTACAATGTATCAGTAATTACAATAACAGAGACTAGTTTTCTAATAGACCTTACAATGACAATAATGAAAGGTAATTACAATAAAGGTAATAGACAATAGCAGTGACCACTCTAGAGCATTCGAGAGGCCCTAGTCTCTTCCAAGTTCCAGCTTAATTCCAAGATCTCAGATGATCCCCTCGTGCTTCCTATGCCTCCCTCTTATATAGCTAACTTTCCCACCCATTTTCAGTTGAACATCCCTTCCAGATCCTTCCCCTCCTAACAACCCATTAACCAACCGGCTTGCTTAGGCCTGGGCCGTATCAGAATTTTTCTCCTGTTGTGAAGCCTGTAACTATTAGAATCATTCTTGCACTTGCTCTAACCCGTGGCTTGAATGGTGACTTAGTTGAGGATGTTTACATGACTCAACCTCCTGCATTTGAAATGGCTGACAAGTCATTGGTTTGTAAACTCCATAAGGCTCTTTATGGTTTGATGCAAGCTCCAAGAGCTTGGTTTGAGAAGCTTGGCCAGTCCCTACATCATCTTGGGTTTGTTTCTAGCAAGTGTGATCCTTCCCTTTTTGTCTTGCAAGCTCATGGTCACTGCACTTATGTTTTAGTTTATGTTGATGATATTCTCATAACTGGCGGCAACTCCTCCTTTATTCAGACTTTGGTGCGCAAACTGAATTCTCAGTTTGCCTCAAAACAACTTGGGATTGTTGATTATTTTCTTGGTATTGAAGTAAAGCATCTTTCCAATGGGCACATGCTGCTCTCACAAACTAAATACATAAGATCTGTTATCTCGGGCTGGAATGATAGATGCCAAAGGAATCTCTACACCTATGCCCAGTAGCTGCAAACTTATCAACTTTGGTGGAAATTATGTTGCTGATCCTCACATGTACACAGATCAATCATAGGTGCATTACAATATGCCACTGTCACCAGACCTGAGATTGCCTTCATTGTAAACAAAGTTTGCCAGTTTGTCTCAACCCCTTGAAGAACATTGGACAGTGGTTAAACAAATTCTAAGATACCTTAAGGGCACACTGACTCATGGTCTTCTTCTTAAGGGCACATCTGCCCAGCCCCTTACACTGGTTGCCTTTTGTGATGCAGATTGGGCAATGGATCCAGATGAGGGACGCTCTACTTCAGGCTCATGCTTATTTCTATGGTCTAACCTCATTTCCTGGTGGTCAAAGAAACAACCACTTATTGCTAAATCTAGCAGAGGCTGAATATCGAAGCCTTGCTCTTACTGCCTTTGAAATGGTATGGGTTTAGTCGCTCCTTCATGAGCTCAATGTCCCTATACAGACACCTATTATCTACTGTGATAACCACAGCACGGTCTCCTTAGTCCATAATCCAGTCCTGCACTCTAGGACTAAGCATATGGAGCTCAATTTGTTCTTTGTCTGAGAAAAGGTTCTAGCTAAATCACTGGTTGTGAAACATGTTCCTGCTCAGCTTCAAGTTGTTGACACATTCACCAAACCTTTATCTACCCCTCCATTTTGTGACTTGAGAGATAAACTCAAGGTTCTTGATTGGCTATAGGTTGAGAGACCACCTTGAGTTTAAAGAAGGAAAGAGAGAAAAAAAAAGAGAAGAGGGGGGGGGGGGGGGAGGGGGGTAATAGAGCACACGTGTCAGTTTGTAGTCTGTTCAGTTTGTTATTCAGTTCAGTCAGGTTGTTAGTAGCTTCTAGGAGATTATTACTCTTTGTATAGCCTATATATAAGACTTGTCTCTTTTGAGATCCGCAAGAAAGAATTCAGTTGCAATATTAATCAGAGGAATGTTTAGATCTCGCTTCTCTTTCTCTCTGATTCTCTCTCTTTGACATACCAACATAAAACACCCAATGAGATAATTATAACCCTTACGTTATACTGATGTGAAATCCTAATCAAATACTAAATCTAAATCATAGTCAAACACTTCAACTAAGTCCTAATCAAATAGTATAACTAAAATAGAGATAGCTCATCCGAAGATAAATGAAATCCCTAAATTATCAGAACTCAAATGGCGTCATCTTCATTCTGCATCAATAACCTTAGTGATTTATGTAATCTTCTAATTTCTAAACATACTACTAGTGGATGATGAAGGTGGTTATTTGGGAAATTAAATTGGAATTTCTTTATAGGTCAAATGTTTATGGACCTTTTTTTTTAAAAAAAATAAATAAATTAGTTCCTGCTTTAAATAAAATTTGATTGAGAATTATATCTTTCCCAAGCATGTGAGACCATTGATTAGAAGCATTAAATGTTTCTACATTATAGAAACTGCCCAAACAATTACATGTAGCAAGATGATGCAATTGCTATTCTGGTAATTGTTTGTTGGTTCTTTTTTAGGCGTCATCCAACTCCAACTAGAGAGATGCTTGAACCCTTGCTACGTACTGCTGCTGCAGTTGGCCTGCACTTGGATATCTCATCATCGAAAGCATTGGCTGATTCTCTTGACCATGCTGTGGTAAATATTTTATTTTGTATTTGTATTTTTCTTTCGTTATTCTTGTTTTTTAATCTTTTTTTCATTGACTACATATAAATGGATTATGGATAATTACTAGCTACAATGATAAAATGTTTTTGGCTGCAGCATCTTTAATGGTTTACTTTTGGTTCACACATTGCTAGCTCAGGCAATTGATTTTTGAGAATCTTATTTGATCTCAAATTCTTTCTCCCTCTTGTACCAAATACTTTTTCAGGGTGATGATCCTTACTTCAACAAGTTAATCCGCATTCTGGCAACTAGATGCATGACTCAGGTAAATTGAATTTGTACAAGTGAACCCAGATTTAGAATTTACTAGAGATAATAGATTTTGTTTTTTGGTTTTTGTAGGCAGTTTATTTCTGTAGCGGGGATCTTAGCCCTGCAGAGTATCATCATTATGGGCTTGCAGCTCCTTTATATACCCATTTCACTTCACCTATAAGAAGATATGCAGGTATGTATCCGTTATAAGTATCAAATATTTACTCATTAATTGTAATGAGGTGAAACAATTTTTTTCCTCGCAGATGTCATTGTGCACAGGCTACTTGCTGCTTCTTTAGGAATATCCAAGTTACCATCTGTATTTCAAGACAGGCTGGAGCTCACTGGAATTGCAGACAGTATGAAATCTCTTTCATGATCTAATTAGAGCTTGGGTATTTTATGTTTTATGACTTTAATGATGTCACGGCCTTAATGGAAGTTTTTTCTAGGATAACTATATTCATTACAAAACTGATAGTAAATTTTTCTTAACAGGTTTTGTTCTTTTGGTGTGACATGTATTAAATCCTAATATCGCTTTTTATCCATGTGGTTTAGATTTAAATTATCGGCACAGGAATGCTCAGATGGCAGGGCGGGCCTCTGTAGAGCTGTACACACTCATTTATTTCCGGGCGAAGTACGTGAAATAGCTTCCCCTTTCTGTTAGTTATTGTTATCAATTGGCATTTCGCAACTTACTCTGGTGTATTTCTATCTTTTCCGTCATGCAGGTCAACAGATGAGGAGGCTAGGATAGTGAAAATAAGATCTAATGGATTTTTTGTGTTTGTTCCCAAGTAATGTCTCTTACCTGTTTCTTGTTTTTATTTTGCTTTGTCATATGACCTATGAAAGGGTCAGATTTAATCTGACCAGATGGTTGTTTTAAGCACCGAAGCAGCTATTAGATGTCGTTATACATTCAGTGAGTTTGTCATTTATAGTTTGTGTGTGACCTTTTTTCTTTTTAGATATGGCATAGAAGGACCTGTATATTTGACAACAAAAGCAGAAAAGGGAGGTGGAGAATGGTATGTAGATGAGCAACAGCAGAAGATTAAAAAGATGGATGGTAGTGTTTCATACAGCGTTTTGCAGACAGTGAAAATTCACATGGAGGTTGTGGAGCCTCAGCCTAACCGGCCAAAACTTCAGCTTACTCTCATCTAGAGGTATTGGGGATGCATTTATTTCAGCTTTGAAAGAGTTTTATGATATTAGCTTTTCTTAGAGTTTTATTTATTTATTTATTTTACTATTTATAGTTTCTAAGAAAAGCACTAAAACAGTTTTTTTCCGAGAATTTTTTTTTTTTTTTTTGTTTAAAAAAAGTTATCTGATTATTTTGAATTTTTTAAACATGTTTTTTAATTAAAAAACACTTTTCTTTTAAAAAGCACAAACAAACGGGCCCATAGCTCTTATTTAGATTGCCATCTGCATCTCATCATTTCTCAAGTAAGGTTTCTGATATTTGGAAATGGCAGGAATGAAAAACTTGTGTTGGACGGAGCACAGGATTTATGAACAAAGGTTGAAGAGTGGAAGGAGCAAAAGTTGTGGATAATTCTGAATTCGAACGGCTTTAGTGTATATTTTGAAAAATATGAATAGACATTATATATTTATTTGAACACAAGTCAAATTTGTCACTACAAACTTAGTTCTGTGAATGATAGGCCTTCAAATTTCGTATGCTAGGTCAGGATGCTATTGATTTTCATTCATCTTTTAAAGTTGGTTTTGATAATTTTATTATCTGTGAAAAATATAATGTATGTTTCACTTCGATGAGAGTATCATAATTGTTTCCCTCGATTGTAATCTTTACCGAAACTAAAAGTGGAAATGATTTCATTTGAGTTGGTTTATTAATCAAATAATTTTTTCAACATTGTAAAAAATTGGATTTAGATAGATTTTTAAAGATTACTTTTTATGTTTAGAAATCTTTGAATCTTTAATTTTTTTTTTATCCGTTTGACTAGCAAAATCAAAATATAGTCTATTTATTTAGAATCCAGTCAATTGTTAACAATTCTTACCATATTTTATTGGATTTTAAAATTTAATCTATTTGAATTCATCCACTTTTAATAATCAAATTATTTCCTAATTTGATATTCCAAAGATAAGATTTGGTATGTTATGAAATCCAGACCGACCTGGCCGAGTCGACCTGGGAACTGGTAAACCGGTCATATAATTGGTCTGGTTGAAGCAACAGATCGGTCATGCATCGGAACCGGTGCGACCTGTTCCGATCCGGCCGATTTTTATGAAAACCGGTTACCCGGTGACTCGAAGCGAGCTATGTCTGAGTAAAAATTGGAGATGAAAGTCTTCTTTCGTTTCTCGACGGTGAAGTAAGACTAAGCTCATGAGCTTATTATCCTAGGCCCAGTCCAAAAAAAATTTAATTTAAAAAAAAAAAAATCATAATAGACATTTTTGAATATTTTTTTTTACTTATTGACTTACATAAGTTATGTACCTATAACACTAATATTATTTCAATTATGCACTATGCAGAAAATTTTGATTTGATTTATAATTAGATATGTTATTTTCTGAACCTAAAGCCCCGTATCACCATCATTATATTTTTGTTTGATCTTTTATTGGATAATAATATGTGATTTATTATTTTTTATATTAAAATATTTGAAATATTTATCATTTTTTTTATATATTTGAGTATATTTATAACTTTTTAATATAAATTATAAAATTGTATATAATTACCGGGTCATGCGGTTGAACCAGTGACCCACTGATTGAACCAGTGACCCAGTACCTCGACCGGGTCAATGATCAGGTCGGTTTTAATAACATTGATACAAAGAGAGATTGCAAAACGGGCTGACCCATTCTTACTCGTTTTAAATTTGCCAAAAATTGGACGGAGTTCGCCAACGCGTCAATAGATGGTGAATTGGAAATATCAAGTGGGTTCGCTTATTAACTCACCAAAAAATTATTTGGGTTAACTCGAGACAATATTCATTGAAAAAAAAATCAAAAAGAAATGAATAAATAATTGTACACAATTTTTTCCCCCCTTTTTAGATATCATTCGAAGATACCATTCGATTCTTTTGTTTTTTGCATAACTTTTAAACCAAACTAAGAAATAACTAACTAGAACACAAAGTTAAACATAAGATTCAACTCGAGATACAAACCAAAAAGGGAAAACAGTCTTTTCAAAACACCATTAGGTGGTGCTTCTTGCACCGATGTAGATGCCCTTTTCGAATCCAAACAGTCTTTTCGTTTTTTTTTTTGTTTTTTGGTTTAGTAAACAAAAACAAGATGGTAAATTAAAAAAGAAAGAAAAAGAAAACAAGATGAAGGCTTTTCGTAGAAAGATATTGTTGGTCTTGCTAAAGAATATGCAAGATATACGCAAGTATACGCAGCCACAAGTAATATTGGGTCTTTAAGTCCCAGTTATCGTTCCTACAAGGATTTTTTGGTGAAAAGTTTAAAAGCACAAGGTGCAATTGCTTAAAACTGAATTTCTAAAAAGAGAGTAATAATAAAATTAACACAATACTATTCTGAAATAGCACTGACTACGTTACTAATTTTTTTTAGACTTTTCTGAATTAATTTCTTGAGTCAATTGTTCTAAAAAATGAAAAATAATAAGAAAGCAATTTAAGTATTGTTTTGTCTATTTTTGATGTAAAAAGATTTTTATAAAAAACATGTAAAACAGAAGGATGATTAAATTAAAGAAAGAAAAGAAAGGAAGAAGACCATAAAGAAGACGAATGACCCTTTTTCATGGTGCTAATTGCTCCATTTATAGCGTGCTTTCTACACACGCATGGGCTTTGGGCCATTCGTCAGCATCCACACGCGCTCTTGCAAATATCGTGACCCCTTTTCGCACAATCACCTCCACGGTTTTGCCACCCAAAATCTATTTGCACATCCATTGCATGTAACAACTTCACCAAAAATGACAGCTAAGACCTTGGCTCCTTCTCACACGATTTGGGTTAAGTCACGAGTTAGGAAAAATGATATGGCAAAAGAAAACAATATGAAATATGGTTTGGTGGCTCATGGGTTCAATGAAATTTGAGGTCAGGTGTGGTTATGGTTTTATGTAATGGGTGGATTTGGTGATCTGTAGTTGAGAGAGGGATATGGTTCAAAGAAGGGCAGAACAATGAAATTGGGAACGTGACTACCTTGCTGCCATAGTCGCTTAGTTACTGACGTGGGCTGAATTTTCTTTGTCATGCTCTCTAATTTCACTTTTTTGAGCTTCACCTTTTGGGCCTTTAAAATTCTGAAATAAGAAACCAAACGTAAGTATCACAACCCACTTTAACTCAACACAAACTAGAAATGGAGTATACTTAGTAGTGAACAAGTCTTCTAATAAAGAATTATCACACCCCAAAACTTGCATTGTTACTTGTCCCCAAGGAACAAATACAGCGCAACACCACAATTCTTTCAACAGAACAGTTCCTCATCAGACAAACAAAGCTTTTCAATTCACATCAGATATGCATAAGCAACAGAAATCTCAGAATCTACATTTTTCATTCAAACACACAACTCTGAATCACCACTCACAAATATCCACGGCTCTTTTTACTTCACAGAAGTTTAAAACAGGCATTAGTTAAAATGAGCAGTTTCTCAAATCCATCAATCTTCCATTCAAAACTTTCACAGGATCAGTTCTTGACTTTCACTAAAGGACTTGCAATTAACTCAACAGAAGTTTATTCATCAATCAGAGAAAAGGATTGCAGTTAAAGCATCAACAATTCGATGATCATTGTTACTTCATTGTTAAAGTGCAATCAGTGGCAAATGAACAATAACAAGGGAGACCATAACTCATCATTTCATAACACAAAGAACTATATTTTCACAAAAGGCAAATGAGAAGGAATCAATCTCTCTCCTCACTTACGTACATCACTCAATAATGCAGAGAGCTGTTTAACTCACATCTTTACTGGGAATAGCCTCAACATAGAATTGATAGGATGCTTTGGATTTTAAATGACACACAAATCAGACTTCAATCAGAAGGACATCATGGGTTGTATCTTGGCTTGGGTTAAGGTTGGAAATTAATGGAGGAATGGCTAACTCAGCTATGATGGACAATGGATGCAATCATCAAACTTTACTAGACACTTCCATTGTTGCCAATTTTTTTTTCTTTTGTAATCCTTTCCTTTTCCTTTTTCTTTTTTTTCTTTGACAATCTTTTTCATTTTTTATATAACTACATTCTTTTTTTCTTTTCTTTTTGAGAGTGGTGTACACTCACACCTTTTTCTCTTTTCTTTATCCTCAATCATGGAACTTAATTCTTTTTCAATAGATTGCAACTTCAAACTTTTTCTATTCCTTCATAGCTAAGTGGGCAGGTGGTCATGGAATGGGGAATAATGAAGGAGTCAAAAAATTAAGCTACAGGCTCAAAGTTGGTTAACAAAAACAAAAATTCAAGGTTGGCCTTTTGGCTCTAGGGGTTAATTAGAAAAAATTTCTCCTCTCCTTAATCCACCAAACAACTGGTAAATTCTTGCAAATCCTCCCTATATCCGCTCTCCTAATTCTTCTTTAAACATGAACTAATACTTTCTTACTCAGACAAACTAATAAACAACAAACAACCATCCTATAAATCTAAAAATAGCAACAACTCACCACCAAGCACAACTCAATAGATATCAAATAGAGAAAATTAAATCTTTTGTTTTTTAAAACAAAAAATATTACACTAAAAAATTTGAACAAGCACTATATATACATCACCAAATATTAGACAACCAGCACATAAACTTAGAAATTCACTCCCCAAACTTAAGAGGAACGATGTCCTCACTGTGGCCGAAACAGGTTACCAAAAAAAAAATTAAAAAAAATTAGGAACAAGGTAACCTGGGGCCAGAAGGGGTTCTCGCCATACTCAGCATTCTCAGAGTATTCTTCATCCTTCTCTTCTGCTTTTCTTTTTCTTTTTTTTTTAGCAATTTTCTGCTGCACCATCTTACTTAACCAGAATTTCCACAACTTCATGTGAAAAGACTTTAACAACTTTAAAGGGGCCTAACCATCCAAACTTTAGCTTCATAGGAACTAGCCTTAGTTTTGAATTAAAAGGTAGAGCTAGTTGCCCTATATCACACCACTTCATGACCTCTTTCTTCACAACCTCCTTCATTATTGGGTTCAACTTCCTCTACTGTTCTTTAGAGCTGTTGTTTTCCTTGTCTGCTAATTTTTCCTTAACAGCCAAGTCAATAATGTCCAACATGGAGCACTCTTCAAACTCTTTTGGGTATTTCATGGCTTTCAAAATGTTAAACTTTATTTGCTCCCCATTAACATTCATGGATAATTCCCCTTCTTTTACATCTATCACAGCCCCACTAGTGGCTAAAAATGCTCTCCCCAAAATTATTGGCACCTCCCTATCCTCCTCATAATCTAAAATTATGAAGTCAGCAGGTAAAATAAATTTATCTACCTTGACAAAAACATTTTCTAATTTACCTTCAGGATATACTAGGGACTTGTCTTCCAATTGTAAGGTGACAGTTGTGGGGCTGGGCTCTCCTACTCTGAGCTTCTTAAAGACACTCATGGGCATCAAATTAATGCTAACACCTAAGTCACATAGTGCTCTGCTTACATAATGGTCTCCTATGGTGCAAGGGATTGTAAAACTGCCCCGGGTCTTCTAATTTGGGAGGTAACTTGCTCAACAAGTATTTGCTACTCTCTTGAGTGAAAGCCATAGTTTCAAACTCCTCTAACCTCCTTTCTCGAAAAAGTATCTCCTTCATAAACTTCACATAAGTGGGCATCTGCTCTAAGGCATCTACCAATGGAATATTGATGTGAAGTTATTTTAGGAGGTCCATGAACTTCCTAAATTAAGTATCTTGCTTCTGCTTTTGAAGCCTTTGAGGAAATGGTGGTGGAGGTCTATTGGAGACTACAAGTGTCTCAACAATGGCTTAGACGCTTGGCTGTTTCAAAAAGCCTTTTCCTTTGAATTAGCCCATGTTTCATTGCTATTTTCCATGGCTGTTGATTGTTGTCCAGCTGATGTATTTTCAACCTGATGTGGGCTTTGTTTTTTCTATTCTTTCTGAAGTGCTTCCTCTGCCTTTTTCTTTAATGTTGAAGGCCTAATTACAGCTTCAGGTTGGTTCACAATTCTGCCATTTCTCAGCTCTATCATTTGACACTGTTCAATATTTCTCCTAGGCTCTTTAGTATTGCTAGGAAAGGTACCAGGAGGCCTAAAGCTCGTAGTTTTTACTAAATTAGCTATCTATGATTCTAAATTCCTCAAAGAAGCAGGAATGCTTTGCATAACAGCCTCTAAACTGTTGATATTTGGCTTCAGTCCTATTCAAAAATTCTCTAAGTAGAGTTTCTAGAGAAGAAGAAGGCTGGTTAGGTTGTTGGGTTTGAGGATATTGTGATAGAGGTTGCTGCCTTGGAGGTTGCTGATAATTTTAAGGAGGAAAATGTGGTTTGGTTTGGGCATTGGAGGGTCTAGCTTGCTGCCCTTACCCTTGAAAATATTGGGGCCCTTCGTTTTGCCTCCAAGAATTGTTGAAAAAATTATTATAGTTTCTATTGGGGTTTCGCACATAGTAAACAGACTCTGGGTTGGATGGACAACTATCAAACAAATGGGGTTCACTACAGAAAATACAAGATTCACTTGAATTCACATCATTGACATGAGGATGAGACATTTGAACTTGAGGCTGAGCTAATTTTGCCTCAATTGCTTGACCTTGGTTTCTAACTAATATGGATAATGCATCAATTTTGGCTGATAAGTCTGTTACAGAATCCACCTCAATCAAACCAGGCACTCTCCTTGGCTAATTTCTCTCAATAGGCCATTGAGAATAATTCCGAGTCATTTGTTCGAACAACTCATGGGCTTGATTATGGGGATCTTCCAATAGTAGGCCGTGAAACTGCCCCATATTTTGGAGCATTGTGAACATGATGGGTTCTAATTTGAAAGGCACTTTATTGTCAGGTTGGACAATGCTTGGATCAAGTTCATCCAAGATGAGAATGATAAAATTCATCATAGACCTATCATTGTCATCCATTGGTTGGTTCTCTATCCTCTCTAGCTGTTCCTCATTGTTATTCCCATTTCCTAGGTCCTCCATTTCTTCAAAATCAAGATTTGAAATATGCCTATTTGCTCTTTGGATTCTCCTCCTAATCCTAAAAGTCCTCTCTGGTTCAGGATCAATAAGGACTATGAACTACATAATTATTCAAGGATCAATGCAAAAAAAATAAAATAAAATAGAATACACTATCATTGTATGATATTTACTAACTATTCTAATTACTATAATGGCATCAAAATATCCTTTTATTATTGGTCAACGTGTTCTTTCTAAATAAAAAAGTATTGTTCTCCGTGATAAAATTAAAACATAAATTTGTGCAAGAAATCGGTTGTATAATTTTATTTTAAATTTTAATGGTATTACTTCATGTTAATAGGTACATTTTTTTAACGTTATATATAATCTTGGCAGATTATGTTACCTTGATTGTCTCATTATTTTTTAATTGATTGATTTTTGAAAAAGATGAATGTAAAAATTTTGTTCTTGTCATATTCATTGATAGTGGAATCCAATGACCATAAAAATATGGTAAATTCAAGATGGAAGAGAAAATGCATTTTTGACATAATCATGACTGATGTGTATTATTTTGATATGTAATTAGCAAAATACTATAGTGGCATTTGTTATTGTCAACGTGTAATCAAAATTTTCTAATTATACCAACGTGTAATCATGACGAATATGTAAATATTTTAAGGGGTTTGTTTATTTATGTTGCATGAGAAAACAAACCCTTCCTACACACATTATAAAAAGTGTGCCATTCATTTTTTTTGTTTTTGTTTTTTTGTTTTAAATAAGTGAGTCTCACACTTGATGTATCTATGACATGAGATTAGAATTTTTCTACAACATAAAATTTATTTTTCCCATATTCTAATTACTGTAATGGCATCAAAATATACTTTTATTATTGGTCAAAATGTTCTTTCTAAATAAAAAGTATCGTTCTCCAAGATAATATTAAAAAATAAAATTAAATGATGGTAGTTCAGTTAGTGTATGAGTTGATCAGGTAGGGGTGAGACGTGAGAGCATGTATTCAATCTTTCCCAGTATCATCTTTGGGAGGAGTTTAAAATCTTAATCCTGGACCCGTCTCAAATAGAATTGCCTCTTGTAAAGGATATCTGTGATTTATTATATATATATATATATATATATATATATATATATATATATATATATATATATGGGAGAGGTTATAGTTACTACCTCTTACTACTAAATTTTAACAGTTGATTTCCGTCGATCTAACGGTTGTAATTTATTGTGTCATTCTTATTAATTAATTATTAATTGCTAATAAATTATATCCGTTAGATTGACGGAAATCAACAGTTAATATTTAGCCGTAAGAGGTAGTAAGAAAAAGAGATAGGAAGAAAAAGATCTCCTATATATTAAAATAAATTTGTGCAATAAATTGGTTGTATAATTTTGTTTTAAATTATAATGGTATTACTTCATGCTATTAGGTACACTTTTTTATGTTATATATCATTTTGGTATATTATGTTGGATTGATTGTCTCATTATTTTTTAATTGATCGAGTTTTGAAAAGGATGAATGTAAAATTTTGTTCTTGTGACATTCATTGATAGTGGAATCCAATGAGCATAAATTAAAAATGGAAAATTCAATTAGTGCTTGGGAACTGAGCAGATGAGGTGAGGGTATGTATTTGATCGACATAATCATGACCCATGTGTATTATTTCTATGTAATTAGCGGAAAAATTTTATATGATCCCGGCACATATTATTTTTTCCCGTCCTGCTCACAGTCAAAACTTTTTTTTTTGACTATTGTATACCTGCTTTTTCTTTTGTTTTCCTTTTTTGCCTTTTACATTGTGAGATGGAGCATTTGTAAATTCTATGAGACTGATCTGATCTATGGAATAACTTCTCGTAACTAGCAAAATGCTGGGGGTAATGCTAGACTTTACTATACCGTTATCAAGTTAAAATAGTCCCTTTATCTAACCTTTTATAGTTTTATTTCATATTTGCATTAAGTTTGGGGTTTTATAGTTTTATTTCATATTTGCTTTAAGTTTGGGGTTATGGATGGTAACAATAAAAGCTATCAACTAAGCGCCTTTAAATTAGAAGCTATTTATAAGCGGAAATTAGGCTAAATAAATTTTAAAAAAAGTTCTTATAATAAAAAGTTCTTTTTTTAATAATGAAGAAAAAAACTAAAAGCCAAAAACTCCTAGAAGGAACTTTTTTATAAGATCTTATCAAATTTTCTTAAATTATGTGTTTTTTTAAACAAAAAACTATAAAGATACAGAGAGAACTTTTTTAAAATATATGCTTTTAATCAACTTAAAAGTGTTAGGTAATCACTGAATAGTTTTTAACTTTATTTGTTTAATTTTTCTTTTTAACTTTAACTTATAAATAACTATTAATTTAAAAAAAAAAAAACTGCAAACAGATTATAAGTAACAGATTAATACTCCCTAGCTGCCAAGACACCACGTCATCAAGTTGATGGCCAAAACTCACCATTCTTAAATCTTAAGTGTTAAGATATTGAGCTATCAAGTCAACACTCGAAACTCCTTAGTCGAGTCATCTAGCTACCTGTTTACGCTAGAGCCAAATAACATTTATAGGTAGTAGTTGGGCTGACACCAGTCTTGAATGCACAGCAATTGTAATGGAAAACGCACTTTAATAACAATTAATAGGGGGAAGGGAGTTACATTACATGGACCTGAGGGTACCCCTTCTCAACTATAAATTGTTAAGACCTTTGGAGATGCCAATATATTTTCTTCTATAAACCTTTGTTTTACTTCGTTTTCGTTTGCATCTTCGAATTAGTACATATGACAATGTCGCAATGCCTTTGACATCTCTTTCTGCATCGTCAAAGCTTCGACGACCTGCTTCTCTTCGAACCCTTTAAACAAAGGAAGACATGCAAAATCATACCAATTCATGTCAAATTCGAGATGATTGATGAGGAGAAGGTTGTCGAAGCTATTGTCGATGCAAAAGGAATTGTCAAATACGAACCTCCGATGGTGGGATCCGCTTTGCGACGTTTCCTACATTGGCTAAATCCCCATAGATTGTAGACACAGCTCGGTCAAGTTTGGTTCCATCAACAAAAATATTCTTTTTTATCTATTTTTTTAATTTTCTTATTTGGATTTTGTTTTAGAGGTGGAAAAAAAAAAACTAAACTGGAATAGGATTGGGGTGTGCATGACAAACTTCTCAAAATTAATTTTTTTTTGTTCGCAGGACAGTAATGGATAAAAAACTCGTTGACTAAATGATAAACTTCTCAAAATCAAATTTTTGTTTGTTTGCGGGAATAGATAGAAAACTCGTTTGCTAAAATCGCTTTATTTTTTTGTTCCTGAGATGAATCAATTTAGTTTGTGTGAATTTTTGTTTTTGATCCTGAGACGAATAAGTTTAATTTGTGTGAATT